ATTATTATGTATTTGTTTGAGACTTTTAACTATTTTTTATTATGTATTAAAGTTTTTTGGTTATTTTTCAAATCGAAAGCAATTGTGTTTAATGGTTGCTTTGTATGTATTAATAATTTATTTAAATATGTCCTAAATTATATAAACTAATATTATATCAATAAATAAATTATACTTTTAATTACAACCAAAATGTGTTAAATTTATTTTTTGTTTATGCAAATATTATTTACTTCTAGGGAATTAACAGTGAATTCACTGGTAAGTAGAAATTGTTTATGTAAATTGGATTATAAAATGAATAATGAAAATTGAATTTATCATTAATTATACAGAATGTGAAAATAAAATTTTAACAAAAATTATTAATTAATATTTTCAAAATTATTAATATAATATACATAGTATGTTTACATATTTATTTAATAATAACACAACACATGTAGTGTATACTAACATATAATATTATTAATTAAATGTAAAGGTAATTTTAGTTTTATGTCCACAAGCTATCAATTTTTCTAAATCAACAATTTATTAGTAAAATATGTTTCGCAAATAAAGTTTTTTGTAATATTATTATTTGAAAAATATGAATACTATCTAACAATCTATTTAACATTCAACAGCACAGTTATGCATTGTTACTAACCAATTATATTCATATAATAATTCCTTATAATTATACTGTCTATTAATCTGTCATTTATAATATAAATGTAAAATAATTTATTTTTAAAAAACCTGGCGCCAATCAAAAAATTCCCATTTATTTATTAGGGAATTAAATAAATTTTTGGTATTAGTCTACTTGTAATATTAAACAGACTATTGAAAATTATAATTAATTGACGTCTAGTAGTTCTTGGTAACCGTAAATGCTTATCAATAATCAGTTATAAATATTATATTTAAAAATAGATTTCGACTAAATTTCTAAAAGATTTCATTTCCTTCTCTATAAGACATTTGAATAGTCTATTCATTTTCATTACTGATTTAATTGTATTCATTTGAATTGATAAAAATTTTAATATTAAACATTTAAAAATAAATTTTATTGACATGAATAAAAATCAAATAAATTTTGTTATCACTTTTTGAGTTTTCCTATGAACAGAATAATAAAATATTTTTTATTTTTATTAAATTCTAACTCCATTTAATGAATTTCTAATAAATAATACCTTTAATATAATTATAATATTAATCATAAATAAAGTATTTTTAACTAAAAAATACTTGTACTGTCCTTCAGTTTAGTAAGTTTTTGTCATATAATTAAAATAAATTCTTATACTAATTCTTGTTTATAGTGTATTTACTATCTAGTACTAATATTTCATAGTACAGTATTTGACATTTTGATATTTACCAAAATTATATTTTATTAGATAAGCTATATTTTGATCGTAAAACACATACTCATAAGAAACTAAAAATTGAAAGTAATTAAATTTTAAAAATATAATAATATATTTTGAAGTAGAAAAGGTGTTACTAGTACTAACACAAAGTGCTCACACGTTTTATATGACAGGATTATCGCCACAGTTTCCAATGAATTTTGACAACTTTGATAATGATTTATATTAGAAATTCTGTACATTTCCAGAATATAACACAATTTTCCATTCAATTCTCACTTTTCATTCAAATATAATAGCGTAGGCTGTGAGTGAAATCACACTTTGCTATCTCACATGAATCAACCTTTTGTTAGAAAAATAAATAATTTTATTTATTCACATACAAATCTCATTCAAAAATATATAACTTATAATTATTTCGCATCAATATTTACAGTATACCTAAAATATATTTATCAATTAAAAATATGCATAAACTAGGTATTAAAATCAGATAATGATTAGATATTAAGCTATGAGATGTGCTTATGAGTGGACAGGCCAGTGGGTTGTCTATGAGTTCCTCATCACCGGCGAAGGTGTCGTTCCGGCACTTCCNGCATCAATATTTACAGTATACCTAAAATATATTTATCAATTAAAAATATGCATAAACTAGGTATTAAAATCAGATAATGATTAGATATTAAGCTATGAGATGTGCTTATGAGTGGACAGGCCAGTGGGTTGTCTATGAGTTGCTCATCGCCGGCAAAGGTGTCGTTCCGGCACTTCCTAAACATATCCTTAAATAGTTTGCACTGGAAGTCAATCCTCTGGGCATAACTGATCGTATTGTTCATATCCCCACACTTTTTCTCATTAGACGTCCATTTCATGCGACAATCGCTGCAATTGACGGGATTTCGCCACAACTTTATGGTTATAGACCTCTTGAACAGCGACTTGAATGTAGTTTCGTTCAGAAATGCAATCATATTATCAGCCAATTGCAGATCAAACGGACGTTTGATGGCCGACAAGGCCTGGGAGTCGAAGGACGTGGAGTTTAACTGATTTTTGCTCAGATCTATGAATACATGGTATGAGCTATCATTGAGTCTTAGGGACCCATTGGACAGCCTATCGATACGGTTGTCGTGAAGGCTTAAGAAGCGAATGTTTGGCAGATGTATGAATGGGTTGTTGCCGACACTAATGATCCGGTTGTTGGCAAAAGACAACCTCTGGAGCCGCGTCTGGACTCCCAGAAGGGGACGGAAGGCGTTGTCGGGTATGAACTCCAGACCGCAATCGATGGCGTGAATGAGACTCGCGTTTCTGAATTGACTCAAAACGTTAAAAAACTTCATAACTTTCGACTTCTCGACGCCGATGGACGGATTGCCCAAGAAGTACACCCTATCAGTGATATTGTACGTCGATTTGAAGGCTTGCTCATCGATGGACACGAGATAATCGTTGCGCTCAATGGATATCTCGCGGAATCCAAACGAGTCCAGAGATTCGCTCTCTATTTGATCGACAATTGAGTTTTGAAACAAAAACCTCTGAAATATAAGCGTATGTTTGTGTGCGGTTTGACGACTAGATTCTTGAAATATCTGTTTGAGGACTAAGTTTGATGAGATGGTCTTCCCGCAGTCGAACTGTCCGCTCGTGGAGTTGCAATCACACGGGAATATGATGTGCGCCGGTGGACAGGTAGGCGATGGCGATGGCGCTGTGCGTGTCGTGTGAATGATATATACAATGGTGATGAACCAAATCATGGGATGTGTATCTGTAATTAAATTGGAAAATGATTTTTAAATCAAAAGTTTCACAAAAAACAATATGTTTGTGAGAAATATGTAGTTTCAGTGTATGAATGAATGCTCTGATTATAATACATGTAAGAATTTGTGCCAAGTTTTTGTTACTTTTTTTGTATTTTACACATAAACCACTTATTACTTAAGACTTGAAATTTTTACTTATAAGTTATAACTATATAATAAGGTTTGATATGATTTTAACTAGAAGTCTATTGTTAGTCGTATGAAGTAATCTCTATTTATAAACTTATTTATAAACTTCTTTGTGTAAAACAAATTGTTATGATTATAATGTGAAATTATAATTATGAATATACATTTCTTGTTTTTAATAATTTGTTGAAATATACGGGAAAGGGATACGTGTTTTCAAAATGTGATAAATACTTTCGTATCAAACAATTGGGTCATAACTTAGGCATACAATTGAGTGCTCATTACAAATACAACTTTTCATTTAAATTTTATTTTTACTTTTCGGTACAAAATATCCAAAACATAATTAACATATTTGTTTATATAATGAATGAAATAGTTCATTATCTAGCTAGTTAATCTACTTCATACATTTTGTAATACTAATGCGATTTTGTGTAGATAATAAGATAGTTATATGTTTTATGATGGAAATTTTAAAATCAACATTAGCATGCTAATTCAATACTATCACAATATTCACTATTTATCATGCAACCAAATGTCAATAAAATAACACTGGTAAATGCAACTAAAATAAATATTTAATTCGCATAAATATTTGTCACAAAATATCATGTACTGAAAAGTATAGCAAAAATATTTGACAACATTATAGCTAAAACAATATTTCACTGGAAAAGTGTAAATACTATTTATAAATATTATGATTACTGTATATACTGTATAATAAAGGACTCTATTATGTGGTATATGTTTGAAAGGAAAGGCAGTTTTTGTTTTAAAATTCAGTGTTTATTATACACCGATAGAGTGCCAAATGATACATACCTTGCATATTGTGGAGCACAAGTAGTATTGGGTGTAAATATTAGTATAGTGGTGATTTTTACTTATTCATAGACTTTTACATAATGTCTTAATATTCATAACTAGTATATCATACGAATGAAAACTATTCACATTTTGAACATCAAAATTACATTTTGTTAGTATTTTCCGCCAAAAATCGCGTATAAAATTTGCAAACAATGAATTGTTTGTGGGATTTATGCTGTACTAGGGGAGCACTGGTAGGGTATACAACATGGAAAGGCATTTCCATTTGAATGATGTCTTCCCATCGCTGAAAACCACTGGTTTATCGCCAGCAGTATTGGGAAAGTCAAGGCTCGTATCCACTATACACTACATACAGTCATACACCTCTGTATATACTGACTATACAATCAAATCCGGTTATAATGTATCATAACTTCAAACATTTTACACATTTTTTGAAGCGTTGTATGGATTCATATAAAAAACAATTATATTTAATATATTTCTCATGCATTGCCGCACAAAAAATGCTATTAAAGTGAGAAATTTCTGAACCAAAATTAGCTATACTTCACATTGAACGAGGTAGCAATAACCTGGCTCACACACAAGTGTTTAGACATTTTTCAATTAAAAAATGTTTTACTGATCATAAAAATGTTGAGCCTATCGACAGTATAAGTAATTTATGGCACTTTTTTCAGTGGTTATGTTAAACATGAAAATTCTTTACGATATGACGATATTGTATATAAATTCATCATTTGTTTTGTGATAATCAAATCTACACTTGCCTTGAGTTTTGAGCCGTGTTTTTGTTTTCATTAATTTTCATTATAAATAATTCCTTAATATTTTTCAGTAGAAAATAATAATCGCATGAATCGCTCACTGAATAACTATTTTTGCCTTTTCATTCAGATTTCAATTTATTATTGCAATCAAAGAATAATATCTTTTGATATAACTTTGAATTAAACGTTTTTTAAACAAAACTATTCAATCACTCCTACACTATTAAAACCTACATAAAAATTTTCATATCATTTGAATCATTTATATATTAATATTTAATATGACTTTTCAATTAACCATAAATTTCTTACATTACTATAAATATTAACTCATAATTATCTGATAGACATTTATTTACTTCATAGATATTAATGATTATATTTACAATAATAAATGAGATAAATTTTAGTTTATATTAATTTACATAAACATGTTAATGAAATATTATACTTGCTCAATCAAAATATTTGACTTTTGCTCACATAATTCAAACTGTTCACAACGTAATTAACATAAATTAAACAAAACAACAATTATTACACTCATTATAGTGAAGGCAAACGATTTGTAATTAGTATTAAACAAACTAACGGCTGAATTGTAACCCCTTTGACAGCTCGGGGACAGTCTGTCCGTCATCTTAGGACAGTAGGAGAAGTCGTATTGAGTGATCGGTTCCCACCTCTGTCCACATTTGAGGGACACTATCTGGTGGCTGACGGGCACCGACTTATCGGTGTAACAGTACTTCGTCTTAACCGTCCACTGGAGGGGACAGTCGCATCGGATCTGATTGCCCACCACTTCTAGTATGAAGTAATTGCGGTCCGACCTGTCAAACAGGGCTCCAAACACGGGCTCGTGTAGTGTGTCTATGCGGTTGTCCTTCAGGGAGAGGGTGGCCAGGGATCGACCCATTTTGGTGAACGAGTCGACATCGAAAGAGTCGGCCGTCAGTTGATTGTGACTCAAGTCAATCATCCGTATGACGGCTTTGGATGGCGTGAATCGGAAGACATGTTTACCGATAGTATAGATCCGGTTGTGGGATAGGATCAGATCGAGGGAAGGGCTGCTGAGGTCCTCGAAGGCATAGTCGCCGATCGTGTGGATCTTATTATGGCTTAAGTCGACGTGTTTTAAGCGATTCCGGTGCCCGTCATGTGAGCGGAAGGCGTGACTGGGTATGGATGTGATGGCACTTCCCGTGACTCGGATTTCACGCAATTTCACGAACTTCTGGATCAGTTTCCAGAGATCTTCGGCCATACGTGGGTCTGAATACAGGCGCCGGTTGTCTATTATATTGATCACTTCCAGACTATCAGTACTGCCATTGAATGCATTCTTATCGATATAATCGAGTTTTTGGTTATCTATGATCGCGATCTCAATGAATGCTATCTTATCAAACACTTTGGACTGGATTTTGGTTATCCCGGTCTTCTGTATTTCTAGTCTTTGAATTTTGTATCCCTTTGAGGGCTCTTTGAACAGCCGGTCCCCAAGTTGTTGGGACAGGAGTTTGAGGTCAACCGATACGGACGTACAGTTGATTGTCTCGATTTTGTCGCCGTTTTGGCGATCATTATGACACCGACACGGCTCCAGATATCGGTTGGACTGGCAGTCGATGGACTGATAGTTGGCGTCCGATTTGATGGTTGTTATGAAAAGCGATAAAAATACCAATTCTTTAATCACTGGAAATAAATTTGAAAAATATTTGTAATCAATGATTACTAATCATATTTTCACAGATTGTAAAATTGTACATATTTTATTAATTATAATATAGTTACTATAAAGTTTAGTATAAAATATTAATAAAAGTTTTAATAACATAAAAATTTTATATAGTTTATAATTCTAGTTATTGTATTTGGCAATATTTTATACACATTACTTTTAACTTGGTGTTGAATCAACTTTTAAGATAAATTTTATGAACAGTAATTTATAGATATTTTATTAATACTTATTGAAAATGATTTCAATTAAATAAGTCATTAATTAAGAGTTTGTTAGTTAACATTAAATCTTTGTGTAAACATTAAGTGAAATCATCGCCAAAATCGTGAGTCAGGAAACCACTATTAATAATAAACAATAATTACTAACTTATGAATGATTTTCTAATTAAATCCGGTGATTACCAAATGAAAAAACAAATACAAAAATTAAAGTTGTTTTAAAATAAACAGCAAAAAATAAAGTTTCGCTAAAGAGTTACAAAAAGTAAGAAAATATTTTCAAAATATGTTTCCAAACACACTATCAATGAGAAGTGAAATGTTGTTAAACTTTAGGCAAATATTTCGGCCGAAAGACTGAGAAAACATAGCAAAGTATAACAAAACTTTTGCAGACTTATGGATATTATTTAATTTTCATTGAATAAATATTTTTGTTTCGAAATTTCTCTCAATTTACTACAAAATCTCTATTCAATTGTTTATTTGCTTTTGCAATCAATTTATTGCTTCGCGTCTCAAATATATGAAACACTGAATAAAAGGGCTTTTTATTGACTTTTAAAATTGTGGGAAACTTTTTCGATAACATGTTTATATTAGTAAATTTAATAGCAATATGAGATTCAATGGTGTCTGTAATGGTTAGGCAGTTAACAGCTATTTATTAATATTTTCGCTATATTTTGTACCATAATATTAGAGATATTAAGTGAATATTAATCTATAGTTTTTGAATAATGAAAGTATTTCTCAAAAGACAAGAAGTGATGAATTCGTAAACTAAACAATAATTATGGGCTATATCTCTAGCATTATAAGCAGGGTATGAGGAAAGTGTCAGAAAAATGATGTATAACTCTAAACACCAATTAAATTTGAGATTCAAATCATAGGAATCTATCTAAAAATATTTTCTGATTTCAATCTTTTTTTCGGTGAAAAATCCTATTTATATTTGAAACATGTATTATATACACAATATTTTTAAATTTTCAAAATAAATCATATTTCATGCATGAAATATGCAAATGACACAATTTTAATTTGTTATAAATACCAAGTTGTCAAAACTATTTAATTAAATTAATTAAAAACTTAAGCACTAGTTAATCAAATTTAAACAATTTATCATTAATCTTGGAGGATTAATAAATATGCATTACTTATGGTGTGAATATAAGGTTGTTTTAAATATTTATACACTTATATGGAGTTATTAGTATCCTTTTTAAATTCTCAATGAAATACTTGAAGTATACGTAAATATATTTAACAAACTTATGAATTCACAATTTGTAAAATAATCACAATATTTATATACACCTAATTATCACTAAATTTAAAATACATTTTTATTAATGACTTTTCCGTTAAGGAAGTGTTGAATATATTTCTCAAATATTTAACAATATTTAGTATACTATACAAAATAATTCACTTAATTTGCGGTCAAAAAGACATCAAAAATGATATATTTAATTATTTTCACACAACAAAAACAAATAGTTAATGAAGTAATTGATATATTAATACATGAAAAGCTTATTCACAAAGAATTCATTGAAATAAATGATAACTAATTTAAGAAACTATTCGTATAATTAACTCGAAGGACACTTCAATAACTTATATTACAATTATAATAATTTTAAATATGCTAATGCCTATAAATATTGATTTCAATAGTAAAAAGTCACACAATCTGTTATACATCAAGATTAGTGTATATAAGTCTCTATGAAAACATGAGTTAATAATAAATATCTCGTTAATTATAACTTACATAACATTTTTTATATCCAAACATTTCCACACATGAACTTCAAAACCATAGACACAATCGATTTAATTGTTATATATTTTCATTAGTTTTACTTCACATCCGATTGGCATTCAGTGTCAACACAAGTACCACAAGAATACTGATCACAAACTTCATAAGCGATTGAGAGGCAAGTGATTGCTAGACAAGTGTTCACATCTTATGGTATGGAAATGGATAGCATGGGTTAGGTAGGGATAGACCTAATTTGTGAGTGGATGGTGTGTGTTGAAAGAGCTCTTGTATTATATGAACGCCAAGGTTAACAATAACCAAGAAGTGGTTGGAGTTGTTGCAAGTAGTGACTCAACTCGTATAGAGGACTGGGAGGTTGTGTAGTTAAGACAAGTATGAAAAAGTATTTTCTCTCTCAATGAGTCTTTAGTCTCGAAGTTTTGGAGAAATGGTATTTTGAGAGCGAATACCAGTATATAAGCAGTTGTTCCGCTCCGTTGATACCCAACTACACCTAACTGTCGGAGAAGGGGAACTGTAGCCTTAATTTCTTTAGTAACTCCTAAACGCCTATTTAATGCCAACTTAACGATAAATCCCAACTATTTTATGCATGCAATCGACTCAGACTTTTGTGAAAAACTTTCTATTGAACTCCAAATTCAAACTCTAACTCTTAATGTATTGAATATTATATTACAGTAAAAATGTTTTTTCTGATGGCATTTAATGGTTTTGGAAAGAGAGTCGTGAGTAGATTCTTAAGAAAAAATTACTTTTCAAATAGTTTTAGCGAAATATTATAAAACAAATATTAGGAGAGAGAGAGAGAGAGAGAGAGAGAGAGCATAATTGGGAGACAATGCTTACTATGTATTACCGGTTTTGTAAATGTTAGCTAAAAATGAAAATATTTCAGTATATAATCGTCGTATGAATTATGTGATATTTATAAAGTCTCTCTCTCTCTCTCTCTCTCTCTCTCTCTCTTCTTCTCTCTCTCTCTCTCTCTCTCGCTTTCTATAATGAATTGCCGGTAATTTATTATAAAGACAGAGATTTTGTCTCAAAAAATATGAAAAATATTTTTAGCAATAAATATTTGTGTGTGAAATATGAGATGAACTGCCTTTCCATCAAAATGAATATTAGATTATCTCCGGTTAAATAGGTTTCTCAAACATTGAGACACCAGGGTGAACGTACTATAAGCTATAATAAATCGATGGACATAAAAATTCATTTAGCAAACAGTGTTTTGAAAAAATCAGTTCAAAATAGTAATCAATGTAGTCATGAAAATAGTATTTGTTATACATTAAAAATGCATACTACTAATTTTAAATCAATAATTCAATATACAGTTAAAAGTTTTTAATTTTATGCACTAATTAACTAGCAAGCAAAATCAATTATTTTTGAGCCCTTTATCTATTGGGAAAAATTGAATATATATGTGAAATATTCTCTATTATTTTATATAAAAATTAAAATAAAATGCAAAAACATCTGTCAATTACATAACTGTGTGAATGAATCCATTGAAATGGTAAGTCAGTACTAAATTCAAAAATCATTTTAAACTCATTTTATTCATGAATCAAGTGATGAGTTCAAGAACTTCTCACTAATTATACATATATTCACTCAAAACTGAATGAAATTTATTATTTCTAAAGACATGTGTCATTAAAACCCCAGAGATTTAAATACAATTTCTTTGATCTCTAAACAAAAATATCTCTTTATATGAGTTATAAATACTTTTCATCATAAATATGAATAACATATGAAAATATTTATCATATTTTCTCATACTTTCTGATCCCTTAATAGACAGTCACTTATTCAGAGACCCAGCACTTCATCAACTCGTTGAACGAGGCATTGGATGCCCTAAATAAGAGCACCGGACACAAGCACTTCTCGCACGTCAAAGACCTGGATGAGCTCCGGGATGGCATACTACTGGCCACAATAATCGAGAAGTTTGAGTCAGTCTGTGGCCGCAAACGTCGGGTGAGAGACAAACTGTACTTCAAGTTCATAGAGGACTGGTTGGTGACCATTGGGGACATGTCTTACATACCACACTACGGCTCGTTCATCAAGAATATCTTCAAAGACAGTGATGTCCAACTAATAGCCAATATCTTCGGTATTGTCGCCATAACTATGTATAACAATCAGCACGAGATGTGGCAGTCGTTTAATGTGGACATCTTTTTCCTACTCCTTGGCGAACCCCTTATACCGAAAATAAATCGCGTTTTGAATAAAAAACTTAACGTTGAAAACGACGAGAGATATGCAGTTGTGGTCCAAAACAGACAACTCGAGCACCGGATCGAGAGGTTGAGTAAGAAGTTTGAGGAAACGGTGGAAAGGTTTGAATCCGAGGCCAGGGATAGGGAACTGGAGGCGGAAAATAAGTTATCGGATCTGAGGGCAGAGTTAAGCGAAAAGGAGGATAAGATCCGGGAATTGGAGACACATATCAGTGAATTGAATAAAACTATCGAAACATTGGGCGAAGAAAATATGGCCAAGAATTTCAAAATCGATTCCTTAAGAGATATTATGAACGGAACCGATAAGACATTGGTGTCTTTGGACGAGTTGCTGGCGTTGAAGCAAAAGGTGAGTTCAATGCAGAACCAGATGAAGCAGATATCGACGGAAATGGAGACAAAGTTTCATATATCGGACCCGCAATGAAATCAAAATCAAAACTAATCTCAAAGCTATTAAATACAAATAAATAAATTAATAGAAAAGTTTTAGTTCAATGAAATTTGTTATAGAAATTGTCGAAATAGTTATAATTTATAAAACTCTCCAAGTATTTTTAAACAAGTAAATTAATTATTAATATGAAGTTTCCCATTTTAATTACTTTATTATCTAGTCTAATTCAGTTACTAGGATAAGGTATTATGTAAATGTGTGTTTTTTATTATTGTTTAAATTGTGTTTGTGTTTACGAAACACAATAAG